TCTGCATCTCAAAGGTCTGTGGTAAAAACCACTTGAAAAAGGGGGTTTAGAGAGGAAATTTAGTTGCCGGGCTGGGAAAGGTCCCTGCTTGAGGTCCTCCCAAGGCACCACCGCTTGGAGTAGAATCTGGTGGGCTTGATGGAAAATTCTTCCTTGGCAGAGGTCAATTCGGGGGGGGATCGCGAGGGATTGCAGTTCCCCCGGGTGAGGTGCGGGGGGGCGGGGCACACGACGAAGCTCCGCCCCTGGATAATCAGAAAACTTTAATGAAGACCAAGATGGATGAAGTGGGGTTGGGAATCCTTTCTCTATTCTTCAGTTCAAGGAGTGTTTCTCCAGAAGTTTGGGGAAACAAGGCCGTGAACTTTGGCCTCCTTTGCCCCGTCAACAGGAACCTTTCCACTTTCCTGCCCCTGGAAAAACAAAATGGGGCTTCTGCTTATTGAGTTGAAATCTGGAAAAAATCAATCCCCTCAGCCTCCCATCTGCCTTTTCCCTCCCACTGAAGAACAGAAGTGGTGGCCTGCTGGATCAGTGCATCTAGTCCAGCGTCCTGTTTCATACAATGGCCAACCAGCAGTGGGGCCAGGACATTAGAAGCCCTCCCACTGTTAACCCCCCCCCCAAGCACCAAGAAGACAGAGCATCACTTGCCCCAGAGCCCCTAGCTATACCTTGTGGCTATGCCCACATCTTCTCTACCACATCCTCTTTATCCTAAGATAATCAGAAAAAATTAATGAAGACCAAGATGGATGAAGTGGGGTTCGGAATCCTTTCTCTATTCTTCAGTTCAGGGAGTGTTTCTCCAGAAGTTTGGGGAAACATGGCTGTGAACTCTGGCCTCCTTTGCCCCGTCAACAGGAACCTTTCCACATTCCTTCCCCTGGAAAAACAAAATGGGGCTTCTGCTTATTGAGTTGAAATCTGGAAAAATCAATCCCCTCAGCCTCCCATCTGTCTCTTCCCTCCCCCTGAAGAACAGAAGAGGCCGGCCTGCTGGATCAGTGCATCTAGTCCAGCGTCCTGTTTCATACAATGGCCAACCAGCTGCCCTGGAGAGTTAAACAGAAAGGGCATGGAGGCTTCGGCCTTCCCCAGATGTGGCTTCCTGGCACTGATATTCTGAGGCTTACTTCCTCTGAATAGGGAGGTTCCCTTCAATCACCACCGCTTGTAGCCATTTATTTTCCCCAGGCCTGAACTGCTTTCTCTGCTCGCCAACCCCATAACTCATTGTACTCATATATTTTCTGATTATTTCTGCCTATCATAAGGAGGCAGCCACTGCTTTCACTGTGAAAAGCAGAGGCATTTTGTTGATTTCCACCCCATATCCTAAGGTTGCCAGCCTCCTGATGGGGCCTGGAGATCTCCCACTTTTACAACTGATCTCCAGCTATCAGTCAGCTCCCCTGGAGAAAATGGCTGCTCCGAAGGGTGGACTCTATGGCATTGTCCCATGCTTAGGCCCCTCCCCTCCTTGAACCCCGCCCTCTCCCGGATCCACCCCCAAAGTCTCCTGGTATTATCCAACCCAGAGTTGGCAACCCTACCATATCCCCCCCCCAAAAAAAAACTGGGACCCAAAGTACCTTATGTTACTCTTTCTCCTCCTGGCTGAGTCGGTGTGACTGGCTGAAAGGAAGCTATCTGGAAGCGTCCGTGGATGTGTCCTGGGTCTCTGAGATCCTGGTTGGACATTCTAACCGCTACACCACACCGGATCTGATAGCTCAGGGAAGGTGTCGATTCCTCTTTGTTTTGTACAGGACTGGATATTTTCCCACCCTCCTAGTTTCTGATGCCTCCTGGCATCTTGCGAGTGCACCTTTGCTTCTCTTTGAAACACCACAGGTATACCCTGAGCCGGGATGTTGGATTCCCTTTGTTTTTGACACTGCTGCTCCCTTGATCATCCTGAACCGGTGGGCCAGTTTTCCAGGGCCTAGCCTGGATTCCTGGGGAAGTATACCTGCCACAAAACGACGAAATTACATGTACAAAATATACAAAGCAAAATACAATGCTGCATAAGGACCATCCTACGAAGATTCCGGATAAATACTTTGTTTCAGAGTATCTTCCTCAGAGATGGACAATTATCAGTTCATATGAAACTGCATTAACTGTATTCTTTCACAACTCTGTTATTATTTGGTAAGTGCCAATGGGCCAGTTTTCCAGGGCCTAGCCTGGATTCCTGGGGAAGTATACCTGCCACAAAACGACGAAATTACATGTACAAAATATACAAAGCAAAATACAATGCTGCATAAGGACCATCCTACGAAGATTCCGGATAAATACTTTGTTTCAGAGTATCTTCCTCAGAGATGGGCAATTATCAGTTCATATGAAACTGCAGTAACTGTATTCTTTCAAAACTCTGTTATTATTTGGTAAGTGCCAATCAGGTTCAAAGCAGAAGAAAAAATTTCAATGTCGGCACACCAGTCATTTTTAGACGACAGTCATTAATAAGACTGAGCAAAGTTGGTATAGCCTCGTAGTAGGAAATTGAACCTAATTCCCTGTGATAGCAAGAGGCCATCCTTCACCCCCACTTTGTTTTAAAGGAGGGGATATTTTCCACCCTCCCTCTCTGGGCAGCTTTTTCCTCTATGGGGACACAAAGCAGCCTTTATTGTTCTCTCCGCCATTTTCGCCTCACAACGGCCCTCTGCATTAAGTCTGGCTCAGAGTCCCCCAGGAAGCGTCCCTGGAAGAGTTCTGGGTATTTGAAGCTGTGTCTCTGAGAGATCCCGGTCAGATCCTCTAACCATTACACCACACTGTATCTCATGGCTCTGGGAAGTTTCTACATCCAGTTTGTTTCGTAGACCGGAGAGATGTTCACCCGCCCTGTCTGTGCTGTGTCACTTTCCTGCCTTCTCACGAGTAACCCTTTGCTCCCATTTCAAATAGCAGAGGGATGCCATGGAGCTCATTTGTGCCGGGATGGCTCGATTCCCTTCATTTTTCGCACTGCAAGTCTCATCATAATCCTGAAATGGGTGGCCAACATTGAGGTGCCTAGCTTTTATTTTTGATTAGATCTGCCTTCAGCCATCAACCAAAGCTTCCAATGAAAAAGCACATGGTGGTGGGGGAGGAGTCTGGGGGCTGCATATTCCAGCATATTCCAGTTCCTTTCATGTTTGGCACAGCTTCTGGGGGAAGTCACTCATTTCCTACTGTATCCCTTATCCCGTGCTGGTCCCTCTTCCTTCCGGGCAACCCCCCTAGCCTCATGTTTCTCTGCTTCTTCCTTCAGTCCTACCCACCAGCCAATCTACCTTTATTTGCCCCCCTCCAATCTTCAGCTTTCCCGCCTTCCTTTCCCAACAGCTGCTACCTGGGAAAGATCTGGCCCAGTTATGCCGTGCCAACCCAGTGTCAGCTATCGCTGCCATGAGATGTGGAGTTGTTTTTTTATTGCTGTGCAGTTCTTCCCAGGCGCTTAATTGCCTCTATGCTGTAACGCGTATCTTTCAAGGTCGCAGGTGGTGATGCCATGCATTCTCTATGCTGTAATGCGTATCTTTCAAGGTCGCAGGTGGAAGTGCCATGCATTCTCTGCTTCTACGCTTCATGGGAAGCTTCCCGTTGCCATACGAATGCCCTATATCCTATTATGCGCATAGTTAACCCGCCATTCCTAACAGTGTTTATGTTACTGCAGCTATGGCTTTTCAATAAATGTATAACCTTCTTAGAAGCGGGTACATCGTTGTTTTGCTGTGGAACCTGACACCCAGCCACTAGAGTAGGTCCTGTTGCATGATGCTAGTTGGGCTGGGTCCAATCTCACCACAGGGAACCTACAAGGACTTGTGGGGAGTCCATTCATTTCCACTGTATCCCCCCCCCCCGTACTGTTTGTCTTCACCTGCACGCTCACTTCACCTGCATGCACCTGCTTCACCCTGCACGCTCACTTTCCATGTTTCCTTCTCTGCTACCTGCCCACCCACCCATCCTTCTTTTAACTTGCCACCCATGTTCAGCTATATTCCTAATTCATTTGGTGTCTATTCCATTTTCCTTCCCAATAATGCTTCAAAGCAGCTCACACGATTCTCTGCTTCTCCGTTTTATTCTCAGAACACTGTGAGAGAGGTGAGGCTGTGTGTGTATGATTGGCCCAGTTTGCTTCCAGAGCAGTCACCCCGTTTGCTTTCCAGAGCAGACTGGGGCTTCAGATCTGAGGCTCACAGACCGTAATCTGAAAGTCTGCCCACTAGACCACACACTGGCTTTTGCAATGTGATTGCTGTCGAACAGTAGCAAGCAGCCAGTCCTGGGTGAGTCAATTAAGTGGTGTGGTATCAGGTGGCCAGGGTCCGATTGTTGCTGGGCATGGCCCAGGGGAGGCTTCCCTCAAAGACCAGAGCAATGCTCTAAAAGGCACTGTTGCGTTTCCCTGCCTCTGAGAGAAGTCAAGGCTTGAAGGCTGTCAATACTGTGGTGGCCTTGCAATGGCCACTGTGTTTCTTATGTTACAGGCACTGCTTCCATTGTTTTGGGATTTTATAGCCCCCCATGCACTTTTTTCAGGTTTTTCTGCAAGCCTGGGTCATTTTCCACTATTCCTTTCATATCATAAAAAAAATTTCAATAAAATACAAGATTTTTTTGAAGTATTTGTTTTCCTCTTTTGTTTAAAGTGTTCCCTAAATAAACACCAGAAAACATATTAACCCTAATGTGATCTCAAGAGGAAGTTCCTGCAACAGAAGTATGAAACCCCATTCCTTGTTCATTTGGTCACAGTTTCTCCTTTTCAAGGACATCCTGGTGTGGGATTAAATATTACTGAAGGTTATTCCAGGCCCCACATTCTCATTATAGAAAATACTGCACACTACTAACTTTACCAGTTAACTAGTATTTGTACCTTTTCATTCTTATCTGATTTCTTTCTCTCTTTCACAGTTGAAGATGTAAGAGAGATGGTGAGTGAGAAGGAATCAGGAAGGAGACTTGTGGAAATACACAAGGATCTGCAGGTGGAAGCAAAATCTGGGGATCAAGTGGTACCAAAGAGAAAGTGCAAAAGAAAAAGGGAAGCAAAAGGGAAGCAAAGGAAGGAACTGGTTGCCTGTCAGAGGAGAAATAAGTCTGAGGTCTCAGCCCAAGATGAAACAAGAAAGAGATTAAGGCATAGAAGTGCCATGCATCAGAAAGGGGTCAGCTGCAAATTCAGCATTAAAACTTATCAGTATGTTATAACTTGCTGGAAAAGGTATAAATGCTTGGAAGGTAGAAGGAGCTTCCACTGGAGTAGTTCAAGAATTAGGCAGCAAAGGATTCACACAGGGGAGAAGCCATATAAATGCTTGGAGTGTGGAAAGTCCTTTTCTCAAAGTGGCAACCTAACTAGACATCAAAAGATTCATACAGGAGAGAAACCATACAAATGCTTGGAGTGTGGAAAGTGCTTCTCTCAGAATGACAACCGAATAGTACATGAAAATATTTATATTGGGAAGAAACCATATAAATGTTTGGAGTATGGAAAGTGCTTCTCTCGGAATGGCCACCTAACTACACATCAAAAGATTCACACAGGGGAGAAGCCATATAAATGCCTGGAGTGTGGAAAGTCCTTCTCTCAGAATGCACACCTAATCACACATCAGAAGATTCATACAGGGGAGAAGCCATATAAATGCTTGGAGTGTGGAAAGTGCTTCTGTCGGAATGCCTACCTAACTGTACATCAAAAGATTCACACAGGGGAGAAACCATACAAATGCTTGGATTGTGGAAGGTGCTTCGCTCAGACTGGTCAACTAAGTGTCCATCCAAAGATTCACACAGGGGAGAAACCATACAAATGCTTGGAGTGTGGAAAGTGCTTCTGTCGGAATGCCTACCTAACTGTACATCAAAAGATTCACACAGGGGAAAAGCCATATAAATGCTTGAATTGTGGAAAGTGCTTCTCTCGGAATGACAGCCTTACTACACATCGAAAGACTCATACTGGGGAGAAGCCATTTAAATGCTTGGAGTGCAGAAAGTGCTTCTCTTGGAAAGCTTACCTAACTGCCCATCAAAAGATTCACACAGGGGAAAAGCCATATAAATGCTTGAATTGTGGAAAGTGCTTCTCTCGGAATAGTGAACTAATGCTACATCAAAAGATTCATACAGGGGAGAAACCATATAAATGCTTGGAGTGTGGAAAGTGCTTCTCTCGGAATGCCTGCCTAACTAAACATCAAAAGATTCATTCAGGAGAGAAACCATATAAATGCTTGGAGTGCGGAAAGTGCTTCTCTCGAAATGGCCACCTAACTACACATCAAAAGATTCACACAGGGGAGAAGCCATATAAATGCCTGGAGTGTGGAAAGTGCTTCTCTCAAAATAGCAACCTAATCACACATCAGAAGATTCATACAGGGGAGAAGCCATATAAATGCTCGGATTGTGGAAGGTGCTTCGCTCAGGCTGGTCAACTAAGTGTCCATCAAAAGATTCACACAGGGGAGAAACCATACAAATGCTTGGATTGTGGAAGGTGCTTCGCTCAGACTGGTCAACTAAGTGTCCATCAAAAGATTCACACAAGGGAGAAACCATACACATGCTTGGAGTGTGGAAAGTGCTTCTCTCGGAATGGTGAACTAACAGTACATCAAAAGACTCATACAGGGGAGAAACCATATAAATGCGTGGAGTGTGGAAAGTGCTTCTCTTGGAATGCCAGCCTTACTAGACATCGAAAGACTCATACTGGGGAGAAGCCATATAAATGCCTGGAGTGTGGAAAGTGCTTCTCTCAAAATAGCCACCTAATCACACATCTGAAGATTCACACAGGGGAAAAGCCATATAAATGCTTGGATTGTGGAGAGTGCTTCTCTCGGAATAGTGAACTAATGCTACATCAAAAGACTCATACAGGGGAGAAACCATACAAATGCTTGGAGTGTGGAAAGTGCTTCTCTTGGAATGGTGAACTAACTGTACATCAAAGAATTCATACAGGGGAGAAACCATATAAATGCTTGGAGTGTGGAAAGTACTTCTCTCAGAATGCCTACCTAAATTTACATCAAAAGATTCACACAGGGGAGAAACCATATAAATGCTTGAAGTGTGGAAAGTACTTCTCTTGGAATGGCAACCTAACTGCCCATCAAAAAACTCACACAGGGGAGAAGCCATATAAATGCTTGGAGTGTGGAAAGTGCTTCTCTCAGAATGCCCACCTAACTGAACATCAGAAGATTCACACAGGGGAGAAGCCATATAAATGCCTGGAGTGTGGAAAGTCCTTCTCTCAGAATGCACACCTAACTAAACATCAGAAGATTCACATTTAATTAATTCTTTATTGATAAGATGTCCCAGCTGTTGGAACCGATCACCATGCTACTTAAAGAGCTCACAAACTCCATTAAAGACATCACAGAAACAGTTAACACAGCACTTGAGTTGGGGCTCAAGGTGGAAGAAGAAATTAAAACCTTGCAATCCAATGAAGCTATTCAATAAAATCATGGAATTAGAAAGCAAACAATGCCAAAATAATTTAAAATTCAGAGAGCTGGCTGAATCTCCTGGAGCTAACTCTGAGTTTATATCTTTTATCTCACCATAACTTGCTTCTTTCTATCTGGCATAGCTCCAACCATAACTAAAGCATATCGACTGGGGCCACCTTCAACTGCCCTATCTAAATTTCCACGAGACATTTTAGTTCAATTTTTACATCCAAGGATAAAATATTTTCAAAGAAGCCCGCATTAGAGGATCGCTCCCATTTGAAGAAAACAAGATCCGGAGCAATCCAGGCTCCCGGCCAAACTGCGCATGCGCACACACGCGCAGTTCGGCAGCCTTGCTCTCCCTTCAGTAGCTTCCCCCCCCAATCTGATCGTGCCGGGGAGGAACTGCATGGCGGCTCAGGGGATCTATGTGATCCTGCCACCGCATGTTTCTTTTGGTGCGTCTTTAAAAAGCCGCACTTTGGCTGTACTTTTTCCCCTGTGTGGCAGGGGCCCAATTTAATTTTATTAAAGACACTTTTTCAAAATTATTCAATTTTCAAAGAGGAGAAGTGTTAACTGGGGGAAAACTGAATTACGTAATAGATCTCAGGTTGGACAAATCCCATCATAATGGACATAACCCCAGTTACTCTAATAAAGTGAAAGAACTAGAAAGATATTAGATTATTTTGAGTATCTGGTGCACCCTAAAATGAGAGAATACAGATATTATTCTCTGGTTCATAAAGTTTATACTAGAATTGATTATCTGTTGGCTTCCAAATCCTTAATCAATCAAATTCATTCTGTGGAAATTGGTTCAAAAATGGTCATATCACTCCAGGGGTACCCCGTGTCTTACTAAATAAATTGAATGATAACAAAGGCCCAGACTGGACATTAAACAGATTACTTTTATTGAACAGTTCAATATGCACAGGAATAACAGAAGATATTAAAACTGTATTCAATTTAAATTGTGGAGTCTGTATACACACGGTCAGTCTCAATCACTTCAGCCATTAAAAAGTCCAAACGGATATCAGAACTAAAAGGCAACATAACTTATCGGGGGGGGGGAATGAAACATGGGGGGGCACATTACACAAACTAGACTCTGAAAGAAAAAAGTTCGATATTCTTGAAATCCAAAAGAAACTTCTTTTTCTTAAAACACATACTGGAGAAAAAGCCTTAAATCCTCGTGCATGCTTTATTTGTTTGTTTGTTTGTTTGTTTGTTTGACTTCTATCCCACCCTCCCCACCGAGACAGGCTCAGGGCGGCAACACTGGACATTTGACATTACAGCTGTGGTTTTAATTCCCAGTAGACCCTGCCGCCCCTCCATTCCTCTGTTCCTTGATTATTGCTCCCAGAGGCCTCAGCACTCTCTCCAAGCGTCTCTGCCTCCTCTCTATGGCATCCAGCCTCTTATTAATAGTGCTGAAGGACGACTCACAGAGCTTCTCCAGTGAGCAGAAAGCTTCTAGACAGTCCCAGTTCAGCAGCCCGTGGTTCTGCACCAGGGGGTGGCACTCCCTCTTCACCAGACGTTTGGGCGGTTTGCTCTTGTTGACCCATTCCTGAAGTGTTCAGGTGGGGCCGTCAAAGGAGACTGGCACTGGCTGTGTCGTCTCAGTCCTGTCAGTATCTGAGATGGGTGTAGAAGGTGCTGGTGGGCTGAGGCCATATTCCTCTTCCTCTGGAGTTTCAGCTGGCAGTTCAACCTGCCACTGTTGCCCTTGCCTCAGACAGACAGCTTCTGCCTCACAGGAAGGAGAGACAGTTATCACTTTGCAGGAGAGCCTCACAAAAAATCTACTTCCAAAATAGTTCACTCACTCATGAATTCACAAAATACACACACTCCTCATTCCCAAGAAAGAGTCCAAACTTTCACTAATTATTTCAAAACCTTGTATACTTCAAAACACCCCACAGAAGAATCCATAAATGGATATTTGAAATCTGTTAACTTTAATACAAAACTAACACCTGGCCATCTACCTTGGAACAACTGATCATCCCAATAGAAGCTACCAACAGTATTAAAAATAACAAAATAAGTCACCAGGTCAAGACAGGCTTCCTGCAGAATGCTACAAAAAACCACCACCACCACCTTACAATTAGTGGGTCCCTTAACCAAAACCTGCAACCATACATTGGAAGCCAGGATCACTGTTCTACCAAAAGAAGACAAGGATTTGACCAAAGCAGAATCTTGCAGGCCTATTTCATTGCTAAACCAATTTAAAAAATAATAATTATATTGGTACATATGGAGCTGCGGTGGCTCAAGTGGTTAAGATGCTGAACTGCAGGCGGTGGAAGGTCAGTAGTTCAGCAGTTCGAGACCCGAGCTGCCGCATGACGGAGTGAGGTCCCGTCTTTAGTTCCAGCTCCTGCCAACCTAGCAGTTCGAAAGCAAGAAATTGCAAGTAGATCAATAGGTACCACTTCAGTGGGAAGGTAGCAGTGTTCCATGCGCCTTGGCGTTTAGTCATGCCGGCCACATGACCACGGAAACATCTTCGGACAGCGCTGGCTCTTTGGCTCTGAAACGGAGATGAGCACCGCAACCCTAGAGTCGGACTCGACTGGCTTTCAAGCAAGGGAACCTTTACCTTTACCTATATTGGTACAAAGATTGAACAAAATTATTCCCCACTACATCCATGAAGATCAATCATGATTTATATTAAGTAGAAATATATTTGACAACATTAGAAGAACTCTGGATATAATCACTATTGCGCCTCCAAACAGTTAGATTCTTTGATTGTGGCCTTAGAGGCAGAAGAGGCCTTTGATCGTTTGGAGGTCAGTTACCTAAAATCTGCTTTAAAATGTATGGGATTTGGGGGGGGAAATGTATGAGGGCAATTGACACTTTGCAGAAAGCACCCACTGCACAAGTGAAGGTAAACGGCTTCTGCTCAGAGGAGTTCCTCCCGTCTGTTAACTTCCGTCATCAACTGTAGCTTCCAATACAAAAAGGACTTGGTGGGGGAAAGGGTCTGGGGATCACGTGGCCCCAGGGGGTTCCAATTCCTTTGCTGTCTCCCAGGTGGGAGGGGGGGGGGGGCTTCATTATTACCGTATTTCCTGTTCCACGCTATTCCCTTTGTCTGTGCAATGTAAGGCTTCCCCTCAGGGACAAGATGTTCTTAGGGTAGCAAGTGGAAAGGCTTTGGGTGGGTGGCACAATGTTCCCTCTAAGCTGTGGAGTCTTGTGAGCAAAAATTCTACTCTGTGAGCTGCTGGCATTAAAGTTGTGAGCGCGCGATTTGGCTGCTGCATAAATTAGTTTGCTCTGGAGCCCTCCTCCCTGAGCTGAGACAAAAATGTGTGAGCCGGAGGCTAAAAAAACTGTGAGCTGGCTCACACTAACTCAGCTTTAGAGGGAACACTGGCTGTGAGGTCAGTTTTGTATTGAGCCTGGCCCTGGAGAGGGACAGAGATCACTGAAGCAGGAGGATAAAGCAACACACATTGATGTCTGGACATGCACGTGAAGCGGCCCCACACAGCCACAAAAAAAAAGAACAACGAAACCTTGTCCTCCACGTTCCCAAATGCTTTGGGGTTTGTAAAATTTTTATTTTGTTCTTGCTACAGGAAACTACATTTCCCAGAAAGTCTTGCGAGCAACCCGGCCTTCTCTAGGAGTGGACGGGGCGGTTTTTCCTCGAGGTGGAGAAGGCAATTTACGGGATATGCCACAGTGCCAGAGGACCTCCCTTCTTTCTTGTTTCCCCCGGATGGTGGGAGAATGGGTGTCTTGCACGTCTGCAGGAAAGGTCAGTTTAGCATTTCCTCTACAGCGCTTGGCAAGATTAGGGGAGAGAAAATGTATATCAAAGGGAAGAGGTGGCCAGAGAGAGCCTCGGAAAAGAATCTTCCCTGGGCAAGATCGGGGGTGGGAGTGGGGGATTGTTTTCACTCACTTGAATGCAATCCTCCCTCTAAGCTGTGGAGTCCTGTGAGCAAAAATTCTCCTTTGTGAGCTCCTGGCATTAAAGGTGTGAGCCAGCCATTTGGCTTCTGCATAAGTTAGTTTGCTCTGGAGCCATCCCTTCCTGAGCTAAGGCAAAACTGTGTCCCAGAGGCTAAAAAACTGTGAGCTAGCTCACACTATCTCAGTTTAGAGGAAGCACTGCTTGAATGTGTTTCCTGCAACCCGCCTGGGTTTATTTCATTTTTAAAGCTTAGCTGAACCTCCAGTCCGATACTGCAGGGGCTAACCTCCTCTGAGACATTTGTCCATTTTTTGCTCTGGTAGTTGTGCTTTAAATTCCCTTGTTGCTTCCTCTAGCGTGTGATTCCCATGAACTTCACCCTGCAGCAGCTCCCTGAACTGGCAACTGGTCTCAGGGTTTGTGTTGTGTGAAGGAGGGGAATCTGCACCCTCCTAGTCTGTGCTGCCTCCACCTGCCTGGTTTGTTGGGAATAAATCATCACTTCCATTGCAAAATGTCAGAAGGATTTTCTTTTGTTAATCTGCACCAGGATTTTTCAGTTTCCTTCATGTTTGTTACTGAATCTCCCACAGCCACCCTGATCAATGCTCCCTCTAAGCTGTGGAGTGTTGTGAGAAAAAAATTCTACTTTGTGAGCTACTGGCATTATTTATTTATTATTTTCAATTTGTATCCTGCCTTGCCAGGGAACTGTTGTGAGCGAGCGATTTGGCTCCTGCATAAATGAGTTGGCTCTCTGGAGCCATCCTTCCTGAGCCAAGTCAAAAATGTGTGAGCCAGAGGCTAAAAAACTGAGCTAGCTCACACTAACTCGGTTTAGAGGGAACACTAACCCTGATGACCCATTCTTGACGCTCTTAGCCTTCATTTTACTATTCTAGACAAGAATAATCCCCACCCCTAATTTAGGGATTTTTCTGGAACATGTTTATCTTTGCCTTAAACAGTTCCTTTTGTTTTGAAGCCCAAAATCTGTTGAGATCACGCAGTAGCTTACTTGCAGTTCAAGAACACGCTGTACAAACTGCCGTTTACTCCACAGTGCACAAAATCCGGAAAGGTCTCTGAGGCAGCAGATTTGTGCTTCCTGTTTTCTGCCTTGCTTCTCTCACCCACCGAGCCCCAAGGATCACACAGCCTGGGATGAGTCGGCCTTAGGGTTAGGTAAAGAACAGAACAAAAGAAATGGTGAGCTTAATTAGGCCAGTTTATATTTACAGAGCTGAATCCCTCCGCAGAAACAGTTTTCATCTAGACACACTGGTATAAAGTCAGTTCGGGGTCGTTGTTGTTGTTTTCATTTAATTGGACTGGACCAAGAGAAGCCCAGTTTTGTGCAATTTTATTTCTTGGAAATTTTCAGTATATTGTACCTATCAGAGGCTGAAAAAGAAACAAATTCAATTTTCCCTGCCGTCAGTTTGATGTATTTCATCTTTGAATCAATTGAGCAGGAGATAAGATCCATCTTCCTTTCTTGAATGCTCAGGGATTGGAGTCCATGATCAAGGGGGCCATATTTTCCTCTTTCAGAGATCCCCAGTGTCCTTTGCGGAGGTAGCCGTGTTCTTCACAGAGGAGGAATGGGTTCTCCTGGATTCAGACCAACGAAAACTCTTCTGGGAAGTGATGGAGGAAAATTATGAGACTGTGGCCTCTCTGGGTGAGGCTCTTTTCCCTTTTATTAAAACCCCAGAAGAGAAGGGAGGGGGTGGCATCTTCCTTTGACCCTCTTGAATTTCCACAGTATTTCCTTTTTGTTCTCATTGTATGAGGCTTCCCCTCAGTGAGAGGATGTTTCAAGGACAGTAAACGGAAAGGCTTTGGGTTGCTGCTGAGAGGTAAATTTTATATTGAGCCCGAAGAGGACAGAGATCACTGAAGCAGACGGTTTCATAAAGCAAGAAAGAAGATTTATTCATACACACAGGAGGCTGCCCCACACAGCAATAAATGAGCCAAGAGACCTCCTATTCCCCATTCCCAAATATTTATGCTTTTTTAATTCCATTTGGGTGTTGCTGTTGCAGGGGACTACATTTCCCAGAAGGACTTGCGAGCACCAGAAATGTCAACCATGCCTTCTCTAGGTGTCCAGGGGGGCGTATTTCCTCGAGATGGAGACAGAAATTTATGGAACATGCTGTTCTACAAGGCCTCTCTTCCTTCTTGTTTCCCCCAGATGGAGGGAGAATTTGGCTTTTGCGTCTCTGGAAAAAAGGTGAGTTTAGGATTTCAACTGCAGCTCTTGGGCAAGAATAGGGAAACGGTAAGAAAATGTGTGTGAACAGGAGTGAAACAGGAAGAGCTGGTTGGAGGAGCTGGTTGGAGGGAGCATGGGGGGGGCCCTTGATTTTTCACTCCCTTGAATGTGTTTCATGCAACCAGCATGGGGGTCTTTTTATTCTGAGCAGCTACACAAACACCTGGTCTGATCCAGTAGGGTCCATTGCCTGTTCTTACCTTTCTAACTGTCCCCCATAGCTTGCTGCACTTGCAGTTTTGTTTTTTTGAGTATTTTGAGTATTTTTTCTTTGTTTTGACCCACAACCCACAGGCTAATCTCAAAAGACGCATTTGGCTATGTTTTGCTTCTATAATGGAGCTCTTTTAAATACCTACTGTTGCTTCTTCTAGAGACTGAATTGGAAACTGGTCTGTATGTTTGTTTAGTGAAGAAGGGGGTCTACTCCACCTTCCTCATCTTTGCTGCTTCCACCTTTGTGGCTTCTGGGGAGTAAACTGTTGTTTCCGTTGCAGAATAGCAGAGGAATGTTCTGGGGCTAATCTGGGCCACAGTGTTTTTATTCTTTATTACTGAAACTGGTGGCCAGTTTTGAGTATTTTTTCTTTGTTTTGACCCACAACCTGTACTCCAGACAAGAGCCTGTTCTTAGGACAGAAAATGGAGAAACAGAAAGGTTTTCAGTGGGCCATGGTGTCAGACAAGGGTGTCTTTTATCTCTCTCCCTATCTCTTCAGTCTGTATGTAGAACATACAGATTCAAGATGGATTAGATTTAGATGAAAAACTGGATTAGATTTAGATGAATCTAAGGAAAGCTGGATTAGATTTAGATGGTGGAGTGAAAATTGGTGGAAGGGACATTAACAGTTGAAGATAGGCAGATGACACCAGATTGCTGGCAAAAAATAGTGAAGACTTGAAAAGACTCCTGATGGAGGTTAACGTAGAAAGTGCGAAAGCAATATTAGAACTGAACATCAAGGAGACAAAAGTAATGACTCCTAGCGATTTAGATTTAGATGAAGGCGGAGTGAAAATTGGTGGAAGGAAGATTAACAATTTGAGATACATAGATGACGCCGCATTGCTGGCAGAAATAGATAGGGACTCAGATATAGATAGGGACTCAGGGGCAAGTGATGCTCTGTCTTCTTGGTGCTTGGGGGGGGGGTCAACAGGGGGAGGGCTTCTAATGTCCTGGCCCCACTGGTGGACCTCCTGATGGCACCTGGTATTTCTGGCCACTGTGTGATACAGAGTGTTGGACTGGATGGGCCTTTGGCCTGATCCAACATTGGCGCCTCTTATGTTCTTATGTTCTTAAAATAGTGAAGACTTGAAAGGACTCCTGATGGAGGTTAAAGCAGAAAGTGTTAAAGCAAGATTAGAGCAGAACATCAAGAAGACAAAAGTAATGACTACTCGCGAATCACACAACTCTTAGGCAGATGGTGAAGAAACCGAAGCTGTTGCCCGTTGTTCAAGATTTTCTATGCCGTGGTTCCATCCTCAACCAAAAGGGAGGCTGCACCCAAGACATCAGAAGGAGATTGAGACTGGGAAGGGCAGCCATGAAAGAGCTAGGAAGGAGTTTTAATTGTAAGGATCTGTCAATGGAGACCAAGCTATCATACTTTGGTGACATTATGAGAAAGACAAGAGTCACTGGAGAAGACAATAATGCTAGGAAAAGTTGGGGGCAGCAGGAAAAGAGGGAGACCCAACATGAGACGGATTGGACTCAAGGAAGCCACAGCCCTCAGTTTGCAAGACTTCAGCAATGATAGAACATTTTAGAGGACATTGATTCATAGGGTCGCCATATTTCAGAAGCAACTTGACGGCACTTACACACATTGACTCAAGGAAGCCAGAGCCCTCAGTTTGCAAGACTTCAGCAATGATGGAACATTTTAGAGGACATTAATTCATAGGGTCGCCATATTTCAGAAGCAGCTTGACGGCACTTACACACACACACACACACACATGTTTATTTAAGGCATTTCTATTGTGAAAGTCCCAAATTTGTTAAGATGATGCAGTAGCTTACTTTCAGCTGAAGGACGTGTTGTACAATCTGCCGTCACTCCACCATGCACAAATATCTGGAAAGGTCTTTGAGGCAGCAGGTTTGTGCTGGGTGTTTTGTGCCCTGCATCTCTCACCCACCAAACCCCAACCATCACACAGCCTGGAGTGAATAGGCCTTTGGGTCGTTGGGTTAAAAACAGAACAAAAGACACACTGACTTTAATTAGGGAAGTCTGTGTTTATAGAGCTGGGTGCAAGCTTTAGAGTAACACAGAACGCCTCTGCAGACAAAAATGCTTAAAGCAGAAACCTTCTCTCAAAGCACAATTTCTGTGTGTTTCTGGGGTTTAATCTGCAAAGTGGTATGTCAGCTATACAGTCTATTCCCCCCACACACATTTAATTAGTCTCAACCAAGAGAAGCCCAGTTCTTTGCAATGGTCTGAGTTTATATTTCTTGGAGACTTTCAGAATATTGTACCTGCCAGAGGTTGAAAAAGAAACCAATGCAATTTTCCTTGCCATTGGTTTGATGTATTGCATTCTTTATTCAGTTGACTGGCCAATGGGATTCTTCTTTCTTGAACGTTCAGGGGTAGGAATAGATGATCCACTGGGCCGTATTTTCCTCTTTCAGATACCCCCGGTGTCCTTTGAGGAGGTAGCCGTGTCCTTCACGGAGGAGGAATGGGCTCTGCTGGATCCAGGCCAAAGAAAGCTCTTCTGGGAAGTGATGGAGGAAAATTATGAGATGGTGGCCTCTCTGGGTAAGGGTTACAGAAGAGAAGGGAGGGGGTGGCATCTTCCTTTGGCTCTCTGATTTCAGAACACACTTTCATTTGCCATGGAGGAAAGAACGAAGCTCCCACACTTGGGGGTCCTAAAGTGCTGGAAGAAGAAAGCATAAAATACTTTTTTTGCTGTAAAGAGAAGCCCGTTGATGAAGAGGGCTCTGATCGGGAGAGATGGGCAATATCCTGCTAGGTTCCTGCTAGGAAATCCCCGTAGCTCCTGCTTTTCCTTTCCGTTTTGATGTGGCGTGGCTCTCCCAAAGGCCTTTGTTTGAGTGGGTGAGGCTGATGGGAGGAGATGAGCAAAAGCATCATTGATTTCACTGCACCAGAGAAGGGTCCCTTGCTCTGTGGCAGAGCTTCTGATCTGCATCTCAAATGTCCGTGGTTCAGTCTGTGAGACTTAAAAAGGGAGTTTAGAGAGGAGGATCTTCAGTTGCAGGGCTGGAAAACGCCCCTGCCTGAGGCCCCCCGGAGTCACCACCCCTTGGAGTGGAATCGGCTGGGTTTAATGGAAAGTTCCAGCCAAAATCTTGGTGGCGGAGAACATGAGAGTCAACTGTGAGGAAGGTGGTAGGCGGGGGAAGAGAAGCCAGGCAAGAGACGCTGCCCCCACCTTCCAGGTGACGAGTGAGGATTCGGGAGGCAGAAGTGCTTTTCCTCCAAACGTTCTGCTCTTCCTTGGCCACCTCAGTGCAGTTTCCAGTGAGAGCCAAAACCCATGCCCACGTTCTCTTTGTCAGATAATCTGAGGAGAGACAAGTGGGGGAGGGGGTCCCTTCTCTGTTCTTCAGTTAAAGGGAATGTCTCTCCAGACGTTTGGAAGAACGAGGAGGTGAACTTTGGCCTCCTTCCCCCCCCCCTTCCGACAGAAACTCTTCCACCTTCCTTCCCTTAGAAAAAATAAAATGGGGGTTGTTTATTTAGTTGCAGTATGAAAAATCAGTTCCCGCGCCCTGCCATTTGCCTTTTTTCTAAGAACAAAGAGGAGGCCTGCTGGATCAGTGCATTTAGTCCACGTCCTGTTTAATACACTGGCCGACCAGCTGCCCTGGAGAGTCGAACACAGAGGGCACGGAGGCCAAGGCCTTCCCCGGATGCTGCCTCCTGGCACTGGTATTCTGGTTTTTACTGCCTCTGAATATGGAGGCAGTCACCAGGGCTAGTAGACATTTATTTTTTCCAGATCTGATGTCTCTGCTTGCCAGCCCTGTAACTTCCTTGTTTTTCTGATATTTTCTGATGAATTCTGCCTCTCATAAAGAGGCAGCCGTCACTTCCATTGCAAAAAGCAGAGGTATTTGTTTCATTTCTACCTCGTATTCTGCCCTGATGGGGAGTCAAAGCAGGTTACGTTGCTCTTTCTCCACCATTTTATCCTCACAACAACCATGTGAGTTAGGTCTGCCTGAGAGGGTGTGACTGGCCCCAGGTCAACCATGGAAAAGTTCTGGGTATTCAAAGCGGAGTCCCTTAGATCCTAGTGAGACACTGTGACCACTTCACCACACTGGCTGTGATAGCTCAGGGAAGTTGCTAAATCCTGTTTGTTTTGTAGAAATATTTTTGGGAAGATATTTTCCACTCTCCCTGTGTGTGCTGTAGCACTTTCCCTTACTTCTTGTTAGTAAAATCTTGCCTGCCCCCGTCTCTGACAGAAACCAAGGCCTGAAGGCTGACAGTGGTGGTCTTGCAATGGCCACTGAAGGCATTTGTTTCTTATGCTACAGGCATTGCTTCTGTTATTAGGGGGTGTTATAACTCCCCAATGTACTCCCCCCCCCAGATTTTTTGCAAGCCTGAGTCATTTTCCCAGTTTGTTGAAAGATCTGTCTTGTCTGTTCATGTGTCTAATCTCTGGATATAAGTGCTTCCATATTTTATTCCTTATCTTTAATCAGAAATGATTTTAGTAAGACTCAATATTTTTTAAAGCATTTATCTTCCTATTCAGTTTTACGTGATCCCTAAATAAAGACCAGAGAACATATTAACCTTAATGTGATCTAAAAGGCGAGTACATACAACAGAAGCAAGAAATCCCTTTCCTCTTGCTTTTGTCACCCATTTCTCTTCTTCCAAGATATCTGGGTGTGTGGTTATATATTTCTCAAGTTTTTCCATGCCCCAGGTTCTAATTGTTGAAAATACCATTCACTGCTCACTTCACCTGTTAATTGTTGTTTGTACCTTTTCATTCTTATTTACTTTCTGTCTCTCTTTTGCAGTTGGAGATTTGATGGAAATGGTGAGTGAGAAGGAATCAAGGAGAGTTGTGGAAAAAGTCAAGCATCTACAGGCGGATGCAATATCTAGGGGTCGAGTGGTAAAACAGAAGCAGAGGAAGGAACTGCTTTCCTGTCAGAGCAGAAATAAGCCTGAGGTCTCAGCCCAAGATGAATCAGGAAACAGAAGCAGAAGGCATAATGGCACCATGAATCGAGAAGCGTTCAGCTGCAAATTCCATGTTAAAATACATCAGAAAGTTACAACATGCTGGGAAAAGTACAAATGTGTGGAATGCGGAAGGGGCTTTTCTCAGAGCATCACCTTAACTGCACATCAAAAGGTTCACACTGGGGAGAAACCATATAAATGCTTGGAGTGTGGAAAGTGTTTTTCTCAGAATAGCACCCTAACTGCACATCAAAAGGTTCACACAGGGGAGAAGCCCTATAAATGCTTGGAGTGTGGAAAGTGCTTTTTTCGGAATAGCATCCTAACTAGACATCAAAAGATTCACACAGGGGAGAAGCCATATAAATGCTTGGAGTGTGGAAAGTGCTTTTCTCGGAATGGCAGCCTAACTGCACATCAAAAGATTCATACTGGGGAGAAGCCACATAAATGCTTGGAGTGTGGAAAGTGCTTCTCTCGGAATACCACCCTAATAGCACATGAAAAGATCCACACAGGGGAGAAACCATATAAATGCTTGGAGTGTGGAAAATGCTTCTCTCAGAATGTCAGCCTACAAAGACATGAAAAGGTTCATGCAGGGGAGAAGCCATATAAATGCTTGGAGTGTGGAAGGTGTTTCTCTTGGAAATTTGTTCTAACTAAACATCAAAAGGTTCACACATGGGAGAAGCCATATAAATGCTTGGAGTGCGGAAAGTGCTTCTCTCAGAATTTCAACCTAACTAGACATCAGAAGGTTCACACATGGGAGAAACCGTATAAATGCTTGGAGTGTGGTAAATGCTTTTCTCGGAATGGTGGCCTAACTGCACATCGAAAGGTTCATACAAGGGAGAAGCCATATAAATGCCTTGAATGTGGACAGTGCTTTTCTTGGAATTTCAACCTAACTAGACATCAAAAAGTTCATACAGAGAAACCATATAAGTGCTTGGAGTGTGGAAAGTGCTTCTCTTGGAATACCAACTTAACTAAACATCAGAAGGTTCACACAGGGGAGAAGCCATATAAATGTTGGACTGTAGAAAGTCTTCTCCGAGAATCACTACCTAACGAAACATCCAAGGGTTCATGGGGAGACACCATATAAATGTTTGGAGTGTGGATAGAATGGCAGTGTAATCACACATCAAAGGATTCACACATGGGAGAAACTATGAATGCCTGGAGTATTGAAAGAGGTTCAGTCAGAGTCAAAGCCTTTACACCACAAGATTCGCACATGGGAAGAGCCTTCTAATCACAGCAGATTGAAAACCAATTAAGACATATACCATCTTAAAGGAATTTTCCAGTCTTTCAGCTAACTTCACTGTCCTCTGAATTTCTGCAGGCATTAGCCCCCCCCACACACACATACACCATGGTTGATACTTCTAAAAGCAATCTACTCAGGCCTGCAAATTGGCTTACCTAGTTCATCTCTGAATCTGGTATGGGAGAGGGACCTTGCTCTCACCCTGGAATTTTCCATGAATACTGCCCAGTAATGGGTTGAGGAGGTCAGGAAGTAATTGTCAGCATTTTTCTATAAGTAAGGTTAGTGAGAACAAGTGTTACCCTTTATCCTTTCTTCCCACGCCTCCTTTCTGCCAAGAAGACACTTGTATTATGCTGTGGGAGTCTTTTTCGATAACCAGTAGTGCTCTCTTAGGACTCCAGTATAAGGTAGCTAGTTAGCTTTCTAATCTTTGTGCATTTTAGTGCCACTGATTAACACGTCTTCAATAAAGCCTTTTTTGTTGTTGTTTTATTGTGTGTGTTACTGGGGAGTTCTGAGTCCACACCCATGTACAGCTTGGTTACATTTGTGCGCCAAGTCAGGATCAGCTTCAACATAGCCCAGACCTGTTTTATGGTAGCTGCCCTGGATGAGACCTGTCTCTGTGTCCGATTCTACAGATGGGCACAAACCACATTTTTTTTTCAGTTTGGTTTGTGGCTGAACCATGAATTGAACAGATATGTTGGTTCCCTAACCAAACCATTCATATAGGTTCGTGGGCCATTTAAAGTTTAAAACTCTGCTTTCTGGTTCCTGAGAAAACGGGGAGCAGAAAGCAGGGGTTTCAAAAGCTCCCAGCCATTTAAACCAAACAGCTGAGTGGCAGTCCCGCCATTCAATTGATAGGTTTAAATGAGTCTGAGCCATTTAAACCCTCTTGTTCTAAGTGTGTGTGTGTGTGTGGGGGAAACTAGAGGGTTAAATATGGGGGTGAAGTGCCTCCTGAGAGCATTTCATCCCCCCTTCTTTCTGCTGGCTGTGGATTTCCCTGGGCAGCAGATAAAAGGGGGTGAAATGTCCTCTGGAAGACACTGAACCCTTCCTATCTGGTGGAAAGGCACTTCACCCCTTCCTTTCTGCTGGCCCAGGTGACTCGGGCTACTTCATGCAACCCATTTAAACGGGCTGTGCCAGGCAGCCCGAGGTAAGGGTAGTGTCCCTTGGAAGGCACTTCACAACTTTCTTTCTGCTGGCTATGGCAATTTGCAGCCAGCAGAAAGGTGGGGGTGAAGTACCCCCCAGGAAGGCACTTCCCTTCCACCTTTCTCTTAGCCACAGCCAGCAGAAGGGGGGGGGGAATCTCCTGGGAAGGGCCTTCTACTTTTCTGCTGGCAGCAGAAACTCCTTTCTGCTCCATTCAGCTTTTCATAGGGAGCAGAGAGCAGGGCCAAAATGGCCCTATTTTCTGCTTCTCAGCAGAAAGTGGAGAGCTGAAAGCAGGGTTTATATGGCTGGGAGCCATTTAAACCCTCCTTTCTGCTCCCTACGGCTTTTCCTGGGGAGCAAAAAGCAGGGCCATTAAAACTCCTGTTTTCCACTCCTGGCAAAAAGCAGCAGTGGTTTAAAGGGCTCCCAAAAACCTACAGCAAGCCAAAAGCAGGGTTTAAATTCTGAACCATTCAAACCAAACAGTTAAACGGTGGGGAGCTCCCAGATGCTCAGCTGTTTCTTGTGAAGAGTAGAAAGCAGGAATAAAACCTTGCCTTCTGTTCTTCACAAACTACCATAAATTGTGCCAAAATTTGTGGTAGTTTTTCCCAGTTCTTCAGTTTACGAACTCCGGTTCGCAAACCCAAACAGGCCAAAATTATTGATGAATTTTCATTCAGCCGGTTCATGCCCATCCCTACCCATTTCTCTCCTTTCTGTCCATCCCCCCCCTTTCCTCCCCTGAACCAAATATATGTTGCACCCCCTCCCAAGCAAAACCTACATATTTTCTCTGTATTCTCTAAAATCCTCTTTTTCTAATAATGGAACATTCGCCAAGGTAGTTTGGTTGATTGATGCCTTATATTACCTCTTGGAAAATGAGGAATGCCACAGTTTTCCCGTGGGAAAACAGAATAATCTGAAATGATGTCATATTGTGGATTAAATTTCATGGAGGACAGCTCTATCAGTGGTTATTAGCCACAGTGACTAAAGGGAATCTCCACATTCAGAAGCAGTCAACCTCTGAATATGGGTGTGCAAAAAAACAAAACATTAGGCATTTTTCAGATTGTAGTGTAACTGAGTCAAAAATATTGGTATTTCCTGATATTCATGAATTTCAGTGCTGGTATGGTATTTGGATATGTGATTTTTTTGGGAATACCAATTTCCCCCCAGTTCCAATATAGCCTATGGGGCCATTATGGTCAATAGCCTGCACACGTTATAATGTGGAATCAATCCAGGAGTAACTGGGGTTTTTGAGGTAGAAGCACTAAATTTTCAGTATAGCTGCTGGTGCCTCTCCTCAGAAGAACCACCAGATTTCAAAATGTTTGGACGGGGGGGGTTAATTCTCTGGGCTCCCCAAAAAGATGCCCTATCCTCCGTTGTTTCCAATGGATATTTTAAAAGGCATTCAGAGGGCTCACAGTCCCTTTAAACGCCTTTTGCAAGATGCACACTGATGGTATTTAAAAGGATCACAGTCCCTTTAAACACCCGCAGCTATCCAGCATTCGTAGATAATCCCATATTTTGGGGGATCAGCTGTATCACAATGCTGAAAATATCGTGTAATGAATATTCAGCTGAATAAATAGCCAAAAAATACCAATCAAGTAAATTTCAGCTGTTTTCAGTGAGGCTAGATCTTGGTGAGACAGGTAGGGAGCTAGTAGTCTAGCCTGGAATGGATGAAATCATGCCAACCTAGTTACATTTGTGACCTGTGTCTCCTTGCAAGACCATGCCCAAGCTCTTGATGGTCCGTGCTGATATCAATGGCATGCCATCAAGAGCTGGGAGTTGACCTCCCACAATGACTGTTCAAACCAGCCACAGGACCTCAGTCTTCGATGGATTTAGTTTCAACCAGCTCTGTTTCAACCGTGTCACCACAGCCTCCAATCCCATGGCCGGCATGTCTGGGACCCTATCCGGCCGGCTGCTCATCAACAGATATAGCTGGGTGTCATTAGCATATTGATGACAGCCCACCCCGAAACACTCTGCCAGCAGGGCAAGGGGGTGCATGTTGTTGTTGTTGTTCAGTCACACAGTTGAGTCCGACTCTTCGCGACCCCATGGACCAGATCACGCCAGGCCCTCCTGTCTTCCGCCGTCCTCTGAAGTTGGCTCAACTTCATGTTCGTTGCATCGATGACACTGTCTAACCATCTCATCCTTTGCCGTCCCCGTCTTCTTTGACCTTCAATCTTTCCCAGCCTCAGGGTCTTCTCCAGTGAGTGCTCCCTTCTCATTGGGTGGCCAAAGTATTTGAGCTTCAGTTTCATTATCTGGCCTTCCAGGGAACAGTCAGGGTTGATTTCTTTTAGGATTGACTGATTTGATCTTCTTGCAGTCCAAGGGACTCTCAAGAGTCTTGATGACAGCCCATCCCGAAACGCTCTGCCAGCTGGGCAAGGGGGTCCATGTTGTTGTTGTTCAGTCGCACAGTCGAGTCCGACTCTTCGCGACCCCATGGACCAGATCCTGCCAGGCCCTCCTGTCTTCCGCCGTCCTCTGAAGTTGGCTCAATTTCATGTTCGTTGCATCTATGACACTGTCTAACCATCTCATCCTTTGCCATCCCCGTCTTTTTTGACCTTCAATCTTTCCCAGCATCAGGGTCTTCTCCAGGGAGTGCTCCCTTCTCATTTGGTGGCCAGAGTATTTGAGCATCAGTTTCATGATCTGGCCTTCCAGGGAACAGTCAGGGTTGATTTCTTTTAGGATTGGCTGATTTGATCTTGCAGTCCAAGGGACTCTCAAGAGTCTTCTCCAGCACCATAGTTCAAAAGAATCTATTCTTCGGCGCTCGGTGCATGTAGATGTTAAAGACCAATGGGGAGAGGACTGCCCTTTGAGGGATCCCACATGCTAATGGGTGTCGTGGGGAGGTCATCCCCTCAAGTGCCACCCTTTGTCCCTGACCTTGGAGGAATGAGGTCAGCCACTTCAAGACTGTCCCATGTACTCCTGCATTGGCGAGGTGGTGTGTCAAAAGATCATGGTCAATGGTGTCAAACGCTGCAACAAAAACAGCAGCGCTGACCCGCCTCATCCTACAGAGATCGTCTGAGAGCCACGGGAACCGTCTCCATCCCATGGCCACTCCCCACCAGCACAGCTGATCCTTGGCCTGTCTTCTGCAGCCCCCTTTTAACAAGGCTGGAGCCAGCCTGAAGCTGTGTGGTGGGCGAGGAGCAATCTGTCCCCCTCTGGTTTTCAAGGTGCAACATAGCCGGTATCTCTATAAGTTTGTCAGATGCGTAACATAACAAGAGGGGAAAGTTAACTCCCACCCCAGCGTTGAGGCCCCAGTCCAGATTGGGTCTCTGCAGCTGTTTTTACTGCTGTTAAACATGGTGTCTGGAAGCCAGTGTGGTGTAATGGTTAGAGTGTTGGACTAGAATCCAAGAGACCCAGGTTCGAATCCCCGCTGTCAGGGAAGCTTGGTGGTTAACCTTGGGCCAATCGCACGCACTTGGCCTAACCTACCTCAAAGGGCCATTGGTGTGAGGATAAACTGGAGGAGAATGATGTGAACCATTTTGAGTCTCCGCTGGGGGGAAATGGTGGGGCATAAATGGAAGTAAAATAAAATTAAAATGTGCTTGTTTTGGCCTTGCTTGGCTGAAAGAGCAATTAACTCCTTTATTACAATCCACGGCTAAGCTGCAGGCAAGACTGAGATTCACTTCTTAAGAACAGGAGAAGAGTCCTGCTGGATCAGACCGGTGGTCCATCTAGTCCAGCATCCTGTCTCACACTGTCCAGCCAGTTCCTCTGGAGGGCCAACAACAGGGCACAGAGGGTGAGGCTTTGGTAAGAACATCAGAGGAGCCCTACTGGATGAGACCAGTAGTCCATTTATCCCCACATTTATCCAACTACCCCCCCCTCAGTTTCATCGATAAAGTAGGTGCGTGCTGGCTCTTTCTTGTAAACAGTGGTGTGCACAAACATACACACTGTAGCCTGTCATTCACCTGCTATTGGCATTCACCTGCTAATGTCATTCAGCATCTGAAATCATTCCACTTTCCAATAAATAGGGCAGATGGATTCCCATTCTAGCTGCATCTGAAGAACTGAGCAGTGACTCATGAAGCATACTCCGCCACATATTTTGTTAAGTCTTTAAGGTACTACTGGACTTTTGCTCTTTTCTACTGCTACAGACTAACAGGGCTACCTGTCTTGATCTCGCCTTATCCAAATTTGCTCTCCATATAGGGATACGGAAAGCTTTACCTGTGGCATTTCCTTCTATCACATATGCCTTAAAGCTACAGGAGCTAGCCTAGGAGTGGTGAGTGTAGCCTTTCAAATTGGTCAAAATGTAACGTGGCCGTTTAAAACAACAACAACAGAACTCCACCAGTGCGTTTGACAGTAACGTATCAGGCAGAAATCCGTCAGGTGCAGCCCTCCCCCCAGAGTCGCGATGTTTCCCCTCTCGTTAAACAGCTGTTCAAGGTACCCATACTTATTGCTAAGAAGGAATAAATGCTAGGGTTGCGTGTTCAAATCCGGATCTCTTTGCATTCAGACGAGTTGCGGGAAGGGGGGGGGGGCTCACTCCAATTCCTAGAGAGGCCGGTGGGTGAAACTCGAGCCTCGTGATGTCAGGGGCTGATCCGGCCCCTTCCTGCGTTGCTCCCTCCCTCCGCCTTCCCCTCGTGCGTGGGAAACAGGAGTCCGGATTTCCCAGGAGCTAGAGACGAGAAGTTTAGGTTCTGGGAAGAGGCTGAGGATGGGTGAGTGGACAGGGCTGGGATCGGGTGCATTCCTCCCTCCTCCCTTCCCTCTCACTCCCCTTCTCCTCTGCCTTTCCCTTCTTTCTTACTTTGCACTCCTGTTCTGTCCTTATTTTAAAATAATAATAATAGTAATAATTTTTAAAAAGGGACTTTTCCTGGGCTTTCCCCAGTTGCGCTTTTGCGCAGCGCCTGGCGCACGACCACTAATGCCCCAGATCCGCTGGAAGGCGTTGCAACAACTCGGACGGTGTAAGCAGCCGGGAGCGCCCCGTTAGGTGCAAAGGGAAAAGGGGGAGGGGGCGCCCGCTTGTCCCGTGACGCTTTCCAGCCGGCTGGAAAGTCAGCCTCCCTCGTCTTCCTGAGCATGCGCTGGGTCCGCCGGGCGCATGCTCGACGCTGAAATGCGAAGCCGAAGGTTGCCCTTACTGGCGCTCTCAGTTCGTGGAAAGATTTTCTGACTGCAAAAAAAAAAAAAAAAAACAGCAGGCAGAGCAGAGGGTGACTTGCTGGCAAAAAAAAGGAGAGAGAGGCTTTTTGTAAGCCGCCTCAGGTCCCTAGGAGAAACGGCGTAATAGGCGTAATAGGGCCCTTAAAGAAAAAAGTATTTTTGGAGAGGGTCATAAAAATATGCCCTGAGGTTATATGGATTTTCTTTTTTATTTAAGAAAATAGATTCTTCTTTGCACATTCTCCCCCCCCCCACCTTTTTGTCCGTAAAAAAGAATGTGTGGGGCGGTTGGAAAAGGGAGAATTGGGTTTTTTTAAAAAAAGGATGGATAAGTGCTCCTAGTTTTACACATTTTCTTACAGGTCCTTCCCCAACCCTTTGTTTGTTCTTTACACATCAGACTTTAGATTCTTGGCATTTTATGTTTGTTGAAACCCCTTTAAAACAAAGAACACTTTTAATATTTTTTTTTTAAATCAGGATTTTGAAAAGTCCATGTGATCTGCCTTTAAAATTTTGCATATATGCAACCATGAATGTAAAAGAAGCCTTGCAATTATATTTCAGTTCTTACTAGCCAAACTATATCTTTTCAGTAAGGAAAACTGGTACATGATCCTTTCATCTTGGTGCTTTATAGAATGGCTGTTGGAATAATTAATGTTGAGACCCACAGTGACACGTGTTGCTGAAGGACTGGGGAGGCCCGGGTTCAAGTCCTTCCTTAGCTAGGAGGCTCACCGGGTGATGTTGACACTGGGTCAGTTGCTCAGCCTAACCTACCTTTCAGGGTTGTTGTGAGCATAAAAGGGAGACGTGTGCATGCTACCCTGAGCTTCTTGGAAGGAGAGGGAGACTTATAAAAAAGGAAATCTAATAAAGTAGCCTGGCAGGGCAGACATTTACTCACGTTATTTATGCCCACTTAAAAACAAAGTTCTCAGAGTTTTGTAAAAGTTGAAAGTTGAAATTTACAATGTACAGTAAAGAGGCACTCAAAGAATGAGAAACAGCATCTGCATAGGGTTTGCCTGATCCATCGTGGTGGTTCTTACCTTCCTATGAAGGCTGAGAAAGATCTGTCAACTACAGCTTTATTAGCAGTCATTGTAGCTGTGAGTTGAACCTCCATGTGCAATGGCAGTCTACCCCTGAGGGCAAACAACAGGAGGAGGGGCTGCAGGACCTGCTTGTGGCCTCCCTAGATATGTCTAACTGTCCACTGCTGTTACAGTGGAGGGACCCACTCTGATCCAGCAGGAGGAGTCTTCTTACGTTCTGCTATTTTCTGGAGACGATCCTGGTCCCGAAAAGGAACAGTGCACCCTTCTAAGTCTGCTGATGTCGACAAGCAGAGCAGAACAGATTCCCTCTTGGCACCACCAAAGCTCTCAAGGACGGGACCAAAAGGTTCCACAAATCCTGGATTTGTGCACATTGTATATTTTTTAAAATGAATTTCTACACAAAACAATTTACAACTGCAATCTGAAGTAATACAAAACCTTAATAGAATATTTCTTGGGCATAACTTTGTTGGGCCCCCTGCAATGTTCCCTCTAAGCTGCGGAGTCTGGTAAGCAAAAATTCTACTTTGTGAGCTACTGGCATTAAAGTTGTGAGTGAGCGATTTGGCTACTAAATAAATTAGTTTGCTCTGGAGCCATCCTTCCCGAGCTGAGACAAAAATGTGTGAGCCGGAGGCTAAGAAACTGTGAGCTAGCTCACACTAACTCAGCTTAGAGGGAACACTGGCCCCCTGATAATTTCAGCTTTTTAAGAAGACAGTTTGTTTATATGCTGCTGTAGCTATAAAGGCAAAGTGACATCCAGCTGCTGAAATAAATGTCCGAAAGAGCACCTGTGTCTGTTCATAGTCCTGAAGGATGCAAAGTTATCTTTTGGGCAGTGTTGGATGCAAGCAGAATTTGCCATGTTGGTCTCAGTGTCTTGAGCTGTTCCTCATCCCTCAGTGGCATAACTTGTTAATTTGCATGTTTTAGGCAAATCTCAGAGTTCCTCTTTTTGGCTGCAGAATTCTTGATTCTTCCATTTTTAAAAAGACTTGTCCAATTAGTTGTACATGTTTGAAATGATTGGTTAAAGCTTCACTTTAGTAATCGCACTATATTGACTTCTGTAACCTTTACAATTAAGGAAATCTTAACAATCAATAACTGTTAACATAACAATTAAGGAAATCTTAATCAGTTAATATAATTTTAGCGGATGGATTAAACCCTCCATCAGTTTTCATAGGAGGGAGAAACAACAGAAGAGGCATTCATGTTCTTCTAGAGAAAGGACTCCTCTTCCAAGATGGCGCTGGCCACCTGCAGTTTTGATAATTGTTCAGAAGAGCATTTCCCCTTCTCTCTCTGATAGAAGCGAATGCCTCTCCCAAGATGATGTTTCCCAGGGGCTGGTGTGATAAGTATTTAGAAGAGGCATTCCCCTTTCTCCCTAACACAGAGAATCCTCCAAGCTGGTGATTGCCATCTGCAGCTTTGGAACAGACTTTTATTATTGTTATTTTTAAGCTGCTGACTGATTCATCTCAGTTGCCTTATGTTGATCAAACGGTTTGGGTTTTTTTAAAAAAAACAATGACTACAATCCAAAAACTGTTGGATTGTAGCAGCTTTAATCGTTTTTGTGCCTTTTCCTCTCAGGTTGAAGCCTAGTTTGGTAGGCCTCAACGATCCCCAGCTGCCGAATGACTTCCTGTTTTCAGGACTTACCATTGTCTCTGTTTTCACCGAAAGAAACACACACCCTGACTTACAACCCGTAATTATTAGCATTTAGGGGGTGGGGGAGACATGAGGGCCTAAGAAGAGGGGAGCACGTCTGAGAAACACGGGCTGGGTCGGTCTCCATTGAAGAACCGAAAGCTCTCCTTCCGGGAATGAAAATGGAGGATCGAGACTCGGAAGGCCTCAAGCTGCTGTCAGGACCGGAGGGCAAGGGGAAAGGCCCGCATGCCCTCCAGTTCAGGACCGCACAGGGGCTGCTCGGGTGGGCCCCTCCTCAACAGGTCAAACAGGAGCCCAACGAAGGATTGTCCCGGCGCTGGGAGTCCCAGTCGGAAGACGTACCGAAGGCCGGGCAGTCTCCTCAGCGGAGTCAAGGGAACCCGGAGACTTCAGACGACACGAAGGGGATCTTAGCGTCTTTCAAGGGAGCTGTGGAAGTCGGACAGTGGTCTCAGGAGCAAGGCCCCCCCCAGAAATCTTCGGGCACCAAAAGGGGAAGCTTCGGGGTGGCGAAGGAGGAGGTCCCCGGTGGCGATGCCCTCAGCAGGGAGACGCACCGCCAGCGCTTCAGGGAGTTCCGCTACCAGGAGACCGAGGGGCCCCGTGAGGCCTGCGGTCACCTCTGGTACCTCTGCCACCGGTGGCTGAAGCCCGAGAGGTATTCCAAAGAGCAGATTTTGGAGCTGCTGATCCTGGAGCAGTTCCTGACCATCCTGCCGCCGGAGCTCCAGAGCTGGGTGAGGGAAAACGGCCCTGAGACCTGCGCCCAAGCGGTGGGCTTGGCGGAGGATTTCCTGCAGATTCAACAGGAAGCCAAGAAGCGGGATCAAAAGGTAAGAGCCGGTTTGTGTGTCCGTTTGGCAAGCTGTCTCTGTGCAGAGTCTGGTGTTTCTCAGCTCTCTCTGTGGTTATGTCAGATGCCAGTATTCCAGCTGAGCTCACACTGTTGAATTTTTTTCATTTAGAGAGAGTCCAGCTAACAAGCTGGATAGGAAAATCTGGGTTCCCACCCTGGCTCAGCTGTGAAACTCACTGGGTGCCCTTGGACCAGTTGTGTTCTCTCAGTGAAATGTATCTGAAAGGGGTATTCTTCTCATATAATGACATAACCCCTGTCTTGAATCACTACTAGCATGACTCAGAATAGCATACGTGAGGATTGTCTCTTTCTTTTTCACAACAACCCCATGAGGTAGGCTATGCCGAGATGCAGTAAGGATCATTTCTGTCTAACATGTTAATAGGATACCATGTTGATTCTTGTGTTTCCTGGAGTAAAGGACAGAAAATACCAAGTTTTCCCGCCACTGAGAAGTCATGTCGATTTCATTGGCTAGATCATGTCAGTTTTGTCCACACATTCCCACTTGGTTTTCTTGCGGAGGGGAAATCTAGAACTGGTGCCCCAGGTTTCTTGTTTTTTTACTATTTCTTATTGTTTTAGTGGGGAAGTTGCATTATCTTAAAGCCTCATTTGAGCAGGGAAGAATATTCCTTTCTCTGGACCACGAAGCACATTGTAAATGATAAATGGACTTCTCAGGTACTATCCAATAGCTGCTGATGGTGTCCAGATGCATCCCACAGCCTTTGCTGACTCAAGCTGGCACAGAAATTGGGTGTGTGTGTGATTTTTTAATTATTGCTTCTAAAACCTTTTTGGAATTAGGTTTTAGATTTTTTTTCCTTCGAGTCTGAGAGGCTTAATTGAATTTCTATGTTGCTGATGTCTTTTGCGCACAGATCTTGTGCTGAAAATCCCTGATTCGAATGAAGTAGTGTATATCGAGAGATCCTTTCTTGGGTTTTTGGGTAGTGTCTTCATTTTGCAAGGCGCTTGGGCCAGCCATACAGTCCTGACCCTTTCCTACCCTCCCCAACTCCATACGCATAATGTATCTATACTTAGGACTACATTGGTGGTGGAGAGCACGACTCAGTATATGATTTACACCCTGCACCCCTCTGGGGATTGAGAACAGTGTCCCTGGAGTCCACTTACGTGTGTTTATCCCAGTTTGGCCACAGCAGGTAAACGTTATTTATTTTATGAATTCACTCATACCTTGCCTTTCTCCCCAACGGGGACCTAAAGCAGCTTGTGTCGATCTCCTCTCCTTGATGTTATCACCACAACAACCCTGTGAGGTAGGCTAGGCTGAGTGTGTGTGTATGACTGGCCCAAAGTCATCAAGGAAGCTGCTGTGGCAGATTAGAGATTTGAACCTGGGTCTCTTAGATCCTAGGGGCCGTGGTGCCTCAGAGGTTAAGACGCCGAGCTGCAGATCGGAAGGTCTGTGGCTCCATAGTTCGAGACCTGAGTGCCTCGTGATGGAGTGAGCTTCCGTCTCTGGCCCCAGCTCCTGCCAGTTCGAAAGCAAGAAATTGCAAGTAGATAAATAGGTAAAGCTTTGGTGGGAAGATAACCATGTTCCATGCACCTCCGGCCACATGACCTCGGAGAAGTCTTCGGACAGCGCTGGCTCTTCGGCTTGGAAACAGAGATGAGCACCGCCCCCTAGAGTTGAATTCAACTGGCTTTCGAGCAAGGGAAACCTTTACCTTTTAGCCTTAGATCCTAGGCTTATACTCTAACCACTACACTACACCGTCCTTCATATATACAAGTGATGCCGGTTTGGTGTAGTGGTTAAGTGTGCGGACTCTAATCTGGGAGAACCGGGTTTGATTCCCCACTCCTCCACTTGCCGCTGCTGGATGGCCTTGGGCAAACCATAGTTCTGTCGGAGCGGTTATATATATATGTGTGTGTGTGTGTGTGTGTGTGAATATATATATGTGTGTGTGTGTGTGTGAATATATATATATATGTGTGTGTGTGTGTGTATTCACAAAAATATTACATTTAACACAAACAAAAAAATGCAACATTAACATTCAAACTTGGTTAATCCATAGCATAACAGTAGTAATATCATACATTGCAAGTACACATGCGACCTAAAAGTCTGTTACAGTGTTCGTGGAAAATGCATCCTTACAATATTTATTACATAAAGGTAAGTATATCACAGTATTTATTAGGTATAGAGGTCTTAAAAGAGGATGAATTTTCAACCGCATATTCAATAAAAGGCAGCCACTTGATCAATTTGGTAGTTCGTGCAACACCAGTTTCACTGATTGGAATCTGTCAGAGCTGTTCTTGAAATAGCAGTTCTCTCAGAGCCCCACCTACCTCACAGGGTGTCTGTTGTGGGGAGGGGAAGGGAAAGGAGTGTGTAAGCCGCTCTCCCCAGTGAAGGGCGGGATATAAATCCAATCTCTTCTTCTTCTGTAGAGTCAGTTAAGAATGTTGGGGCCCTTAAACTATCACCTGATCTATTTTTTTTTCTCCGTCACTTGTTTCCTCAGCATACACGGACGGAGGCTGACGTGGAGCGTTCTCGGCTGGCTGTGGAGCACTTCCTGATGGCAGACTCCGTCCCGAGCCCTTCGGACGTTAACCTTCCCTCTCCAGAACCCCGGCGCCGGAGGGATGCCTGGTCCCGCAAGGAAACCATTGCCTTCATCGATATCTGGAAAGCGGAAGATGTCCAGATCGCTCTGGGGCAGCAGTACCGCAACATGAAGCTGTTTGCGTGGATCGCAGACCGGCTGCGGGAGCGGGGCTTCGAGCGCGACGCAGAACAGTGCCGCAGCCGAGCAAAGGACCTCAAGAGGGGCTACAAGGAGATCAAGTGCGGGAACCTCCATTCTGGCCGGGCCCCCAAAACCGCACCCTACTTCAAGCTCCTGGAGCAGTTCCTGTGCCTGCGAAAAGGCATTGTGTGCGGCAAGGTGTGCGGCGCCGGCGTGGTAGAGCGCCTGGACAAGCGGCGGAAGCGGCTGCCGCTAAACCCCATGGCGGCTACCAGGATTGCACGAGAAGCCGCCAATCCCACACCAGAGGCCCAGGAGGTGGAGGCCCCAGAACGATACGTTGCACCGACTGCGTCGTCCAAAGAGTTGCGGGTGACCCCAGGTGACCCCGCACCACAACCCCCCAAAGTGTCCGAGGACACTAATGCACAGATTGTGGGGAAAGTAGAAACCCCTCTGGGGGATAACCCTCCATTGCTGCCCCCCAAAGAAACTCCCACTGAAGTCCAGGTGGCTGGTGAGTGACTTTGACCCTCTTTTCCTCTTCTGGCATCTGGGACCCGTAGCCAAGATTTTGTGGCTTGTGGGGCGATTTTTTTTCAGGTGGGGCTGAAGTTCCCAGTGCAGGAAGAAAGCCAATAGAAAGCTGTTGCCAGGATAGATCTCTACATTGCAAGCTGTCAACCACTTTAGATGACCGTTCTCAGCTGCTGCAAGTTAATCACTTCTGCCAGCCTAAGCAACAGTTCTGATAACAAGCCGGCAGGTGGGGGTGATGACTTCCATAGCCAAGAAAGCTAAGACTTAGGCAGAAAAACTCTCATAAAGGAGACCAGTACCTTGACACAGAGTTAGAAGGGATCCTAGAGGTCACCTACTCCAACCTTGCTCAGTACGGGAATTAGTCAACTACAGCACCCCACTCTGCGTAAAGGAGAGTACGCCTTTAAAAAATTGTTTTAAAATGATTGAAAAAAGCATTTACAGGAGAAATTCTTCTGGAGTTGTGCGTTTAAAAAAGGGGGCGGAGCCCCCAAAAGTCCCACCGTAGCTACAGGCCTGCTGGCATCCCTTATTATTAGTGTAATGTCACCAAAGCACCTTGACATTTTTCAGGCGCTCTGACCTGAGCAACATCTAAAATTTGATGCAAGGGAGGTGGCAGAGATAGCAGGAGGTGGCCCTAAATGGGGACAAATACGTTATCCCAACGTATGTAAGTGCTAGCAACTCACAACCAAATTATAGTGACCTCAGCAAGCGGCTGTCTAGACCCTTTCCAATGTGCTGAATGATGCACTTTCATTCCATTTGCAATGCACTTTAGCAACTGTTTGCAAGTGGATTTTCCCATTTCACACAGTAAAGTCCAGTTTCAAAGTGGATTGGAAGTGGATTGGAAGGGCATGATTCAGTGTGCGTGTGAAAGCACCCAAGTGAGAAGCAGAGGTGGTTTGCTCTTGCCTTCCTCCGCAGAGCCTTCCTCGGTGGTCTCCAGTGTTCCCTCTAAGCTGAGTTAGTGTGAGCCAGCTCACAGTTTTTTAGCCTCTGGCTCACACATTTTTATCTTAGCTCAGGAAGGATGGCTCCAGAGCAAACTAACTTATGCAGTAGCCAAATCTCTTGCTCACAACTTTAATGCCAGTAGCTCACAGAGTAGAATTTTTGCTCACAAGACTCCACAGCTTAGAGGGAACATTGGACTGGTCTCCCATCCAAGTACTGACCCCTGGCTAGCTTCTGACAAGGTTGGGCTATGCCATGCCACCTTGCCTTCCCCCAGTTATCCCTAATCCTGGGGTTAAGTTCATCAGTGGCGAGGGACTAAGGTGTTGAGGCAGAGGCTTCACCGACTCCACCAAGGAGGGAGTCGGAAGGAAGGGAGAGGCTAGCCCGCATCTTGCAGGTACCCTGGGAAGTGACGCCAGGCATAAGGGGCCATAAGGGGAAAAGAGTGGGGAGGTGGTGGGTTTCCGTTAAATGTAAGGAAAAAATTATTTGCCTTGGAAGCACAGAAGCTTTACGCAGTATCCCCAGTCTTCGACATTTCCCAGTTATGGGGAAAAGGCTGTTCAAACAAATTACAAAGATGATCTGACTCCGACTGTAACAAGAGAAAAAAATTTGACTTACAAAAATCAAAGCACATCTTACGTGACGTATTCATGTAGGCACATTTAACTTATTGTGATGAACTTCAGAAATAGGTTAACTTGCTATAGCTCCAAGCCCAGGTGAGAGAAAGAAGAAGAGAAGTCCTATATAAGCTGCAAGGGATTTCGTTATCATTGGGGAGCATTCAGAAAAGTGCTTTCCCAACTTCCCATCCATTCTGCCACCTCATCCGGCTGTGATGTAGAGACCAAGCCTCTGCTTGGAACCTCCCTAATGGCCTACATGGGATTGTGGAGCAGGCAGAGGTTCCGTTAGGGACGTTCCAAGCGGAGGCCTGCTGCCCAACAGTAAAGAAATTCCTTGGAAAAAGAAAACCAGTTTAAAAAAGGGGTCTGATCATCGGTGATCAGAAAGATCTTACCCTGAGACGCATGACCAGTCAGAGTTGACAGGACTCACATGAACACCCATGCAGCTGCCTTACACTCAGGGCTATTTTTGGGCAGGAACGCACAGGAACGCACAGGAACGGAGTTCTGGCTGGCTCCCAAGTTGGCCACGCCCAGCAGGAACTCATTAGCATAACAGGCAACACGCAACAGCAGAAACTCATTAGGATTGGCTACATTAGGGGTGTGTGGCCTAACATGCAAAGGAGTTCCTGCTACAAAAAAGCCCTGGGTTTTGACAACAAGCAAGGTAAACAGAATAAGAAGCAAAAGATGGGTGTGGCTGGATGACCACACTTCTGGTAACATGGGGGTGCGGCCTAATGTGCTAATGAGCTGTGCTGTCAGGGGTGTGGCCTAATATGCTAATGGGTTTCTGCTGTTGGGTGTGGCCTATTATGCTAATGAGTTCCTGCTGGGCTTTTTCTACAAAAAGAGCCCTGCAAAGTTACGTTGAAACACATCCTTGGTCCATCAAGGTCAGTATTGTCTACTCAGACTGGTGGTGGCTCTCCAGGGTCCAAGGCAGAGGTCTTTCACATCACCTCCTACATTACTTTTTTACCTGGAGATACTGGGGATCGAACTTGGGACCTTCTGCATGCTGAGCTGATGCTCTACCACTGAGCCACAGCCCCTCCCTAACTGACCTTGATAGACAGAGGGTCTCACTTGGTAGAGGGCAGGATAATTGACGACTCGTTCTTTGCCTCCTGCAGATGCTGGAGAGGAGCACCGGAGGTTGTCCGTCGGCAACGCAGAGCGTGTGCGCTACCGGCGGGAACGCAACTGGAGGCAGCGCCTGGAGTCCACGAGGCGCCTGGCCGAGTCCTCCGCTTCCAAGTCCAATTCCGACCTGGTGGACACCCTCCGGCAGCTGCACCAGCAGGACCTGAGGGTCTTTGAAAACAAGAGGCGGGAGGAGAGGGCGGAAGACAAGCAGGAGAGGCGGCTGGAGAAGCAGGAACGCGAGCAGGACCGGGCGACCACCCACCGCATGATAGCCGCCATCGAGAAGTCCCACCAGACCCTGGCAGATCTCATGGGAAGGCAAACCTCCGCTATGGAGACCATCGCCACTGCGTTTTCAGCCCAGCGCTATCCTTCTCCGGGCCCCTTCCCAAGCTACAATCCCTACCCGGGGTTCAGCCCCCCCTGGTCTGCTCAGCATTCTGTTCCCAATGCCACTGAGAAGCAGGCCAACACGTCCAGCAGCAACGCGACGCCCTTGCATTCTCCAGGCCGTGATGAATCCGGGTTGCACGTTCCCGTGGAGGCACAAAACGATACCGCGCCTGACGAGGTTCTGTCTTTCGTCGGCCCGTCCACCAGCTTCCACTCGGATCCCGATCCTCTCCCTCCTCTGCTGACCCCCAGTCCCGGAGATGTCCCCGAATCCTCGCCCGCAGCCTTCGGGGCCAGTCCGAAACGGATCATGAAGAGAAAAAACTGTGACTGAGAGAGAATCAGCCCCTACGCTTTTAATTCTGACCAAGTTTTCTTTCTTTTCTTCTTTCCTCTCAAGCCATTACAGGTTTTTTTCCTTTCGGATTAAAATATGTAAGTTTGTTGTTTCGCATTTGTCGATCTCGGTTACTTCCCTCCTAAAGGGTGTACATTTTTTTAAAAAAATTGGGGGAACAGACAGAGGATAGTTCTCTCAATAGCTGATCGCTACAAGAGGAATGGAACGTCCAGGTTCAAAGGCAGCTTCCCTGTTGGCTGAGGAGGCAGAGAATGGGGACGGAATACAGCCCTCTGTGCCTTGCGTTTGAGGAGCTCCTGAGGCCTTATGGGAAACAGGATACTGCCTGTGGTTGCCAAGTCCTGGTTGGGAAATCCCTGGAGATTTGGGAGTGGAGCCTGGGACGGACAACATTTGGGGAGGGACCTCAGCAGAGATGTGATGCCCTTCAAAGCGGCCATTTTCTCTGAGGGAACCGATCCCTATAATCTGGAGATCAGTGATAACTCTGGGAGAACTCCAGGCCCCATGTATTTATTATTTTTTATTTGGTCGGATCCCGCCCTCCCCACAAGCGGGCTCTGGGCGGGTCACGACCGTTTAAGTAACAATACAATAATAAATACAGTACACACAGAATTAAAATGTTAAACTCCGCCACAGCACAGACTCTATTTCTGGCATCCACCAGGCCTCCACAGGGCATATGCGACCAATTAACAGAGCCCATTCAGCGGATGCCAAGACAGTTTTTAAGAGAGCGATTCATACAAGGGCAAGATGAAGAAGAAGAGATTGGATTTATACCCCGCCCTTCACTCAGAGTCTCAGAGCGGCTTACAAACTCCTTCCCCTCCCCACAACAGACACCCTGTGAGGTAGGCAGGGCCGAGAGAGCTCGGACAGAAACTGCTCTTTTTCAAGAACAGCTCTGGCAGGACTATGGCTTGCCCAAGGTCATCCAGCCAGGTGCAAGTGGAGGAGGGGGGGAATCAAACCCGGTTCTCCCAGATTAGAGTCGGCGCACTTAACCACTACACCAAACTGGTGAGCCTTATTCAGCCTCTAAGGTGACTTCCGACAATCTGGTTTAAAAGAGTTAAAGTACTGCCCCCCTCAACCAACTAATAATGATAATTGGGTGCTGTCAAGCCACAACCAACTGTGGTGACCCCAGAATTATAGAGTTTTCAAGGTCAGAGATGAGGTGAGGTGGTTGGCCATTGCCTGCCTCTGCATAGCAACCCTGAACTGGGGAATCAAACCCGGTTCTCCCAGATTAGAGTCGGCGCACTTAACCACTACACCAAACTGGTAGGCCTTATACAGCCTCTAAGGTGACTTCCAACAATCTGGTTTAAAAGAGTTAAAGCACTGCCCCTCTCAACCAACCAATAATAATAATTGGGTGCTGTCAAGCCACAACCAACTGTGTCGACCCCAGAATTATAGAGTTTTCAAGGTCAGAGATGAGGTGAGGTGGTTGGCCATTGCCTGCCTCTGCATAGCAACCCTGAACTCCCTTGGTGGTCTCCCATCCAAGTACTAAGCAGGGCCGATGTAGCTGCTGTGTTGTGTGGAGATTGGGCTAATCTGGGCTATTAGGCTGCTTAACCACTTAACGAAAGACCCAAAATTATGCCGAACAGAAAAAAACAACCCACTTTTTAGTTAAAAGTATTACGGAAGCCATTTTAAAAGCTGGTGTTCTTACAGCGACCGAGGACTCACAGCTAAGATCCCAGTTTGCTAGTACAGAAGGTGAATAATCACAAACAGAACTTGCCAACTCGAACATCCTGGGTCTGAATCCTGTCCTGGAGGGTCCGGGCCTTACCCTTGTGCAAGCAAGGAGTATCAAGAGAAAAGGGTCAGGCAAATGCAGAAATGGTTGTTGATGTGATTTGAAAAACCTAAGATTTCATTTCCTAGTCCTTGACGATTGTGAAGACATGTTGTTGTTCAGTCGCACAGTCGAGTCCGACTCTTCGCGACCCCATAGACCCCATGGACTTCCGCTGTCCTCTGAAGTTTGCTCAATTTCATGTTCGTTGCATCTATGACACTGTCTAACCATCTCATCCTTTGCCATCCCCTTCTTCTTTGACATACCTGGGGGGAAAAATCTTTGCCTCAGGAAATCTCAGATGCCAGACAACTGAGTGAGGCATTCCCATGATCAGGGAGATGAATGTGTATCAGGAGCAGGGTACTTGTGGGGATTAAGAAAGGAGTGGATGGTAGCACTCTTTGGTATGTCTTTCTGAAGAGGCTGGCACTTGGGGTCTCTTTATTTCCCTGACCTCCAAACAGTGTTCCCTCGAAGCTGAGTTACTGTGAGCTAGCCTCCAGCTCGGTTTTTGTCTTAGCTCAGGAAGGGATGGCTCCAGAGCAAACTTGTGGTCCATCACAGTTCTCTCGGAACTCTCTCAGCCCCACCTACCTCACAGGGTGTCTGTTGTGGGGAGAGGAAGGGAAGGCGATTGTCAGCTTCTTTGAGACTCCTTAGGGTAGAGGAAAGCAGGGTATAGAAACCGACTCTTCTTCAAGGCAATAAAGCCTTATTCACACAGGCAAACAGAAGAGGGCTTGTTACTTTCCCGACTTGTGGGCTGCCTGGAACATCTGGCCAGCTACGGATTTATTCATTTATAACCCACTTTTCTGAGCAATGTGTGGCAACCAAAGCGGCTGACACCGTCCTCAGGGGAAACACACGCTGCTCTGCGTGAGAATCATCAAGCAGGGTATAGAAACCGACTTCTTCAAGGCAATAAAGCCTTATTCACACAGGCAAACAGAAGAGGGCTTGTTACCTTCCCGACTTGTGGGCTGCCTGGAACATCTGGCCAGCTACAGATTTATTCATTTATAACCCACTTTTCTGAACAATGTGTGGCACCCAAGGCGGCTGACACCGTCCTCGGGAACACACGCTGCTCTGCGTGAGAATCATCTGGGCAGCCATGATGTACTGTGGATTTGATGGTGGAGCCCACCCTGATCCTGCTTGTGGGGAGGGCGGGATACAAATCGAAATAAATAAATAAATGTAAGGGTTTTGTGGAGTCAAATGAGGGTGGGTTTTCCCCCATTTTAAAAAAACATCTCCCCCTCAGCTTTATCCTCAGGGAAACTTTGTGTCCCAGATGCGAAACACAAAGCGGGCGCTGAGGTTACAAAAGGAAACAGAAGGACATCGACACTGAAAGGCAGTGTGGTGTAACAGTTAGAGTACTGAGCTAGGAGCTGGGAGGTCTGCGGGGCACGCCTACATGGAACCAGTGTTCCCTCTAAGCTGAGTTAGTGTGAGCTAGCCCACAGTTTTTCAGCCTCAGGCTCACACATTTTTGTCTTAGCTCAGGAAGGAGGGCGCGCTGAAGTTACAAAAGGAAACAGAAGGACATCGACACTGAAAGGCAGTGTGGCGTAAGAGTTAGAGTACTGAGCTAGGAGCTGTGACGTCTGCAGGGCACCCCTACATGGAACCACACCCTTTTAAGCCCATTGGATTTAGATGGTTGTGACTCTATGCGGGAAAGCAGTGCTGGGTTCAGATTTATTTATTGTTTAGATTTTTACCCTACCCTTCCCTATTCAGCTATGAAAGCTCGCTGGATGACCTTGGGCCAATCACTCTCGGCCTCACCTACCTCTCAGGGTTGTAATGTGGATAAAGTCTGAGAAAGACAACCATCTCCCCTGCCCTGAGCTCCTCGGTGAAAGGTTGAGATGGAAATATAGCAGATAGGCGGATCTGGATCCATCTAGCTTGCCTAAATTCTTGGGAGACAAATTTTAGGGTTGCCACCTCCGGCTTTGGCAATTTACAGGGACGATGCCTGGGAAAGGTGGAGTTTGGGGGGGAGCACAGTGGCATTGTGATGTTGCTCTAGGACTTGTGTTTCTCCTAGACTCTATGGTATATTGCAGACTAGAGTCCACCTTCCAAAGTTGCCATTCTCTCCAGGGGAACTGATCTTTTTAGTGTAATTTCAGGACAACTTAAGGCCCCGCCTTTAAGTGGGAAATCATGACTGAGAATACACACTTTCCTAAACAGAAACTAGCAAAGACCTGCCCTCTATTTATTTATCTATTTGATTTATATCCCATCCTCTCCTCCGAGGAGGGCTCAGAGTGGCTTAAAAAGGTAAAGGTAAAGGTCTCCCTTGCTCGAAAGCCAGTCGAGTCCGACTCTAGGGTTGCAGTGCTCATCTCCGTTTCAAAGCCGAAGAGCCAGCGCTGTCCAAAGACGTTTCCATGGTCATGTGGCCGGCATGACTAAACACCAAGGCGCACGGAAGGCTGTGACCTTCCCACCGAAGTGGTACCTATTTATCTACTTGCAATTTCTTGTTTTCGAACTGTTAGGTTGGCAGGAGCTGGAACTAGAGACGGGAGCTCACTCCGTCATGCGGCACACTCGGGTCTCGAACTGCTGAACTACCAACCATCCACAGCCTGCAGCAGCATCTTAACCACTTGAGCCACCACAGCTCCTCAGGGTGGCTTACAACATTCATAAAGTACAAATACAGTTAAAAAAACATCATCAGCATATAAATAACTTTAAATTAACAATCATTTAAAACTCTAGAGATGTGGGCTGAGCTAGGGCATATTGTACTTGCGCAACGTGTGCCGTATCACTGGATTTTGGCAGCTCCAGCAGGCACAGCAGAGCGGAGAGGGAAAAGGCCAAAGGAAATGGATCCACTAGATGGATTAGCACAGGAGAATGGAGACTTCTGTGACAAACCAGGGTGGCCAGCTCAGAGTCTGGAAATTCCTGGGTATTTGATGGTGGAGGCTGAGGAGGGCAGGGTTGGGGGAGGGGAGGGACTTCAGTGGAAGATAATGCCACGGAGTGTGCCTTCCAAAGGGGACTCCATTTAAGTGAACTGATCGCTGTTGCTTGGAGAACAGTTATAATCACAGCAGATCTCCAG